AGGGAAATAGTGAAATAATGCAAAAATAAAGAATTCCCTTGTCGAATGACCTAAAATAAAACTTAAAATTGGATTCCCCCGTGGAGGAGATATCCATTCAAATATGACATTTAAAACTGAAGGGATTCAGCTCTCCTAATTAATGGCAGTCTAAGACTAGAGTGAATCAGCAGGCGTAAGTGACAGTGAATTTCCAACACTTATCTCCTAAATGATGTTTTTAAACTTTTAACACAGATTCTATGACTTAGAAAAAGCCATCTCTGCTCCTTCACATTTTCTTTGCAGTGGAAATTCCATGATGAAATGTCTATGGGGTTTTTTTTTTTCCTATCTCTGCCTTCACATGCTGTCTTTAAAAAGCAACCCTGTCAAATCTGAAGTGATCTTGGCTTCTTTTCAGCTGTCTTCTCCACAGTTAACACTAATAATAAACTTCTGTTATTATAAATGCTTGTCAATTAACAGGGAGAGAACATTTTATAGCTTAGTGTGCCATTGCCTTTATAACAGCATTTAATGTTTACGATGCAGAAGTTGGATTTCCTTCAAATCTAGTGATAAAACCATCCCAGTTCATGATTTTCTAAGTGTCTAATTAACGGTGCAAAGAAAACATTTAAGAGCAGATGTTGGTGGATTTACAAATTCAGGGTTTTTTTTTTTTTTGCAGCCTGATTTTTACAGCAGAGACTTGCAGATGTCAGCAATGCCTAAATGCAGCCCCCAGGGCCAGAATGGCAAAGAAAGGAGCTAAAAGGAACTGGGAGCTTACAGATCTCTCTAGATTTTGCCCCCCCAAAGGGCATGGAACTTTAATTCTACACAGTTGACAAGATCTTGGCTAATGCCTTTCTCTTCTGCACCAGGGAATAGCTGGGGCTGACTTCATTGTTGAAGCAAACATGCACCAAATCAACACTTTGAGCCTAGAGGGAGAAAAAATGAAGTACATCCACTTATTCCACAGTCATATCTGGCACTCAGTTAATGAGCCTGGACACTGGGCATGTGGAAATAACCTTGAAGTGAAGTATCTCTGCAGCAGACACATGATTTACTGACAGGATACCACCACGTGGCAAGTCCTTTGCTAGGGCTTACATTTTCAATATTAAATTTGGGCACATAAATATACTAAAGCATCATTAAACTGATGCAAGGGGGATTCAGAGGAGTTGCCACATTGGTTATGAAGGTCAAAAACCTCCTAGAAAACAGATGCATGGACTGATTCTTATGAATTCAGCTCTTTCCCAACGCAGCAGCACAAAGGAACAGAATGATTCTATAGGAGAGATTGTATCTTCTTTATTTGAAGGACAGTTGTGTCCTTCCACTTCTTTTTCTTAACCAGAACTGCATTAAGAAAAGATGAATATGCTGCTAAATGGAGTCAAAGAACTTCTGAGTAACTGCTGATTTTACTGTGCATGTGAGAAGGTTTCACTTAAATCCTTTCATCCTTCATCCCAGCAGTGGCTATTTCGTGGTGGGATGTATCACAAGAGGTGATCTAAATAAGATAGATGAGCTGGAACCAAAACTCCCTAAAAGAAAGAGAGGGTGTGCCAAAAAAAAAAAAAATAGGAAACCCCCAAGTAGCCTCTGGATGCATAAAACCTTCATCTGAGATATTCCTGTTTTCTTTGTGAGTCATCTGAAGCGATTCCTACTGAACAGATAATAAAAGTGCAATTACCTGCAGAGATTCAGCCTGCCTGTATGTGTGTATTTGATGTTTTCTCCTTAAATGTCACCTGCCAAGAGGCTGCTGAAAGGTGGTTAGCTCAGAGGGATGCTCTGGAAACTGGGAAATGTTCTTTATTGCTGCTGAAAGCCAAAAGCAGGGAAAAAAAAAACTTGGACAAAGCTTTTCCAAGTCTATGTGTGAGGCAGTTCCTCATCCAGCCATGCTCTTCCCCAGTTGTAGATTCCCCCATGGACCTCTCGTGGGAGCTGGCAGGGACACAGCAAAGACACCAGAGAATGATGCCAGCACAAGCCTGGGCTGCTAGCAGGAGACTTTCAAAGGAAGAAAAATGCCCTAGAATATCAATTAACTATATAATTAAAACTGCAAGGATGTCTGTTCCCTAACACAGCTGATTTTGGGAAAATCTCTCCTTTGTTTTCTCAGTTTTTGCATGGGAAGAGGATAAATTACTCCTGATTTCCCTTGCATCAACATTTCTTAAGAGTATTTAGATTAGAAAGCTGTCAGTGAACTGGGCCATGAGCTCAGAAATCCACACAGGGAACAGTCAGAATTCAGGGAAAAGCAGCTCTTAAGTGTCAAGAATTATTAGTTTTGGAATAGAAATACAAGGTACCATCTGATTTCATGCAGTGAAGGAGGTAGAGAGTAGAGATGGAGCTTAAAGACCTGCCCAAGCCACCAAGGGCACATTTTAACACCTGTTTGCAAACATTTGTGCCATAAAATCTATCCCTGAGTGAAAATGGGAAGGATTTCCTCTGATACTACACACTCCTCTTCCCTCTGCACTGCAAAGGTCATTGGCATGGCAACAAACCCCTCATTTCTCCAGAGTCTGTCTGTCTGCTGCTGAATTCTGACCTCACCCCATTCTTTTTGGATGACATCCTGCTTGGCTGCTGATGCTCTGTCGTAATGATCACAATTTCAGGTGAAGAATCAGCAGCAACAGCAGCAGCAGATGGACTTCTGAGCCATGAAGAAACTATTCTCTGAGATGAGGAGGAAAGAAACACAGGAGGGAAGCCCTGCCAGAAAATATTGTGGTGGTTTGGGGTTTTTTTTAAGTGCTACATTTCACAATTTCTCTGAAACATCAGCAGCTGGTGATTTCTTCCCTGTAATCTCAATTTTGCAACAGCTCACACACAGAAATACCCTATACGCTAACTCACACGTGTCTTTTTGACTGGAACAACCTCTTAAATACTGATTACAATCCAGCAATTGTACACAACTCCTGCTCAAAATATTGCTAAATACTCTCCCACCATCAACTATGCAAGTCTCTTCAATATTTTTCTAACAACAAATATTAATCATCTGGTTTAATCAGCAGCTGATCATGCATCAACTTCCACAGTTTATTGGAGGCTGCAGGCAAATGATCATTAATTTATTTGTGAGAGACTAGAAGATGTATCACTCCAGAATGAAAAACGACCCAGAAATCTGTTTGCAGCCCCAATAATCACACCAGCTTTGAAAACATCGACAGGCAGAGCTGGATCTCAGTGACAGATAGTTCATGTCAGCTGGAGCAGAGAGTCCTCTGGGGGAGGAAAAGGATGGAGCAAATTTTAGGAGTTTCTGGTTTGTTGAAGTCAGCCTGTCAGAAATACCATCTGTGATGGCTGACAGATAGTTCATGTCAGCTGGAGCAAAGAGTCCTCTGGGGGAGGAGAAGGATGGAGCAAATTTTAGGAGGTTCTGGTTTGTTGAAGTCATCCTGTCAGAAATACCATCTGTGATGGTCTGTGACCTCCCTGCTCGCCTGGAGCTATCATCCCCTGCAGGTACCACACAACTGCCTTGTCTGTGTCCATTGTGCTGTCCTGCAGGGTGTTTAAACTGAGGGTTTGTGGTGAGACACTGTAGGACAGTGTTGGATCAATGCCTGTCATG